AGGAGTTTCTTCAGAACACTATTGTCTATCTCCATAGCTTTAACAGAAAAATATTTCAGCTTATAAAGCATCTCCTTATTCTCTCTTCCTCATCTAAAACTTAACTCCTTTCTTCACTGTCTTTGATGATTTTATGATGTCTTTTTTCATGTTGATTGTCTCTCTCTCTGGGAAAAAGGAGTAATCTGTACGTCTCATCCAGGTAGTAAAAGAGTCAAAGTCTTGGAAAGCTGCAGATGTTCATGGTGTCAGGTTTCAGTTCAGCAGCAGAAACTGCAAACCCAGTCAGGCCGGCCGGCTCCGTTTCTCTTCCCCCCGCCCTCTGCAGCCTTGTCCGGCCTGGACGGGGGAGGGGGAGGAGGCCGAGACAGAGCCTGTTACCTCTTCAGAATCAGGAAACCAAAGAGAGCAAGAGAACCCTGGCTTTACATCTTAAGGTGGTGTTCACAGGTTGATCTTACTTCTGAATGGTTAAAACCACCACCAATTCTCAGAAATGACCAATAATTGGTCAGGAGAAAAGACTCCCATCAGCCACCAGCAGCTTCAACTTCCTTAGCTCCCAAAGCTATCTTAAAGGTAAAGTCACCCTATGACAGCCATGATGTCACAATTATTTTATTTTGAGGAGTAATAGATTAAAATTGTTATTTATCATGGGTTTTACAGTCAGGAGTGGTAATTTAACCAAAAGTGTCGAAATAGTTCCCAAGCTGCATGTTATCAGCTTATTATTAGTTTTCTTTGAATAGCAGAAAATGAGACATACTTGATTTGTTATATATTGCAATTCAAAATATACTAGTATTAAATATTAATGTCATTACTGTCACACTATGCTTGTGCAACTGTGGACATCATCAAGCCTAAAATAAATACAGAATTTCTGCTTATACTCATTTATGTATTAAAGCTTTTATTTTGTATTCCAACACAGGAGTATTTGCTGTTGTTATATTTTTATATTCCAGCCCAGAGCTGGAAAAAAATGAAAGAACCCTGGTAGTATGCATAAGCTATGAAGTGAAAAGATTCTTTCCAACAGATTCCAGCTCTGCTCTTTGTTTGAAGTAAAAGAGGAGTAAAACTCTTCTGCTGGTCACATCGAACCAATGTAAGTTTGAATAGTCTGTGAAAGACAGAAGAGTATAAAAATTATTTCATTTTATAGTACTTACAGCCTTGTAATTCAGCCATAGGATAATTATGCTGTAATTTACTCAATTACACTCAATTAATCAAAGAACTGGAAAAAGAACTGGAAAATAAGTTTTTCTAAAACTAAGTTTAAAAAAAGTAAATTAATTTCATACACAAAGCCATGTAGTAAAAATATAGTCATTTAAACTTCTCAAAGCCCTTTGATAATGGAGCCCTGCAGCCTAGTCACGTGCAGTGCAGCCTCAGTTTCCTCTTGGAGCCCAAATCTACTAAGGGTCAGGGCTCGGATGAGCCTTCACCCAGAACTGGCTCCAAGACTGATTGGGAGTCAGTCCAGAACAGGGCTCACACAAAGAGAAAAGTCTCAAGGCCAAAGCCAAAATTTCATCAGGTTGGATTTGTTTTAACACTGAATTACAGCAAATTTGCTTGTCCAGTAACATCACTGTTACCATGAAACTTTACATGAGCTCTTAAATAACCTCTGTCCTATCATGAAATGATTGCCAAATATTGTGAACTTGCTTTGCCTCTGCCTGCTGTTCCTGGGGCTGCTCTGGGCCAGGCAGCCTCAGTGGCAGCCAGCACTGGCTGCAGCCCGAGCGGGCTCCCCAGGACAAGGCCCCGCAGTGAAGAGGCCAAAGAAAGGCCTGGGCAGCAGCAGAACTCTCAGCAAAGTTATTTGGGCAATGAAGGACTACCCACAAGTGCACAGCAGCATGACTGTGGACAAAAATCAACAACTTTCCATCTCATGTCGTAAAGCTTCCAAATCCCAAAACAGCAGCATATCAGGACAAGTGGCACAGTGAACAGTGTCACTACTGTGCCTATCATGCAGGACCTGTGGACATCCTGGGGGCAGACAGTTCACTGCATCCTCGACATAGACTCCTGTTTCAGTGATAACATCTACAGAAGCAATGGGCAGTGTGAGCCCGTGCTGTGCTCTGCTGCTGAGCTGGCAGCATGCTGGATACGGCCAGGATGTTCTCTGTTTGCCCCAGAGCTGGGGCCTGCAGGCACCTTGCTGCCCCTTGGCACAGGCTGTGCCACCCAACAGAGCCCAGAAGGCCGGGAGCAGAGCCCAGGGACAGCGCAGCCGCTTGGGCAGTGGCTCCTTCCAGGGACTCAGGCCAAAGCCATCCCTGAGCAGCCACAGCCACCCCTGACCCTCCCTGCTCTGTGACAGCTCCCCCAGCCCAAGGGGACAGAGCCAGGCCCTGTCAGGAGCCAGTGCAGGCCGTGCCCAGTTGGGAGCCAGGGCTGGCTGTGGCCCTGGGCTCTCAGCAGGGCTCCCACTCGGGGCTGCTCCTGTGCCTTGGGCCTGTGATTCCAATGGCCTGTGCATGCAGCACTTCAAGCAAGTAATGCCTGGCTCTTAATATTAAAGTTGTGTTAAAGACATTTATTCCCAACTTTGACAAGATGAAAGAACTGAAGCCAGTTTTTGTAAAATGCCTGCATAAGCACTACCATAAATCACAGCCAAAAGGTGCCCCACAAGGTATCCCACAAACATGGACCAAGCAGCTGCTGATCCTTCTTCAATCCTGGCTGCATTGCAGCCCCCCAAGCACCAAGAAGAAAAGGCTCTTACTGAGAGCAAGCAAACTTAACCCTCTGCCAGGACACAAATTTAGAGGGCAAAAAATTTAAAAACGCCACACCAGCAGCCATGCTTCCCAGTGAGAAGGGTTGGAATTCTCTGCCCCTCAACACTTCCCCAGCAGGTTCACAAAGGTAACTGGGATCGAAGCTGTGCCCTCGGAACCAAGAGAGCCAGCCTCCCTTCAGGGTGAGAAGCCACTGCCACAGTTATACCCCTGGGTGCCTCCTGTGCCCCAGAGAATGGCCATAGCTGTAAATGTGTGTTTGGCTGCAGCACAGGGCCAGGCTGAAGCTTGGCAGCCTCATCAGACCCCACAGCTGCAGCCATTCCCTGCCAGGGCCCTCACCTGGCCCAGCCCGGCCTGAGCAGCCCAGACTGGCCTCAAGGGATGGGCTTCACCTGCCCACTGTGCCCACAGGCAAGGCCCAAGGGCTCGCAAGAGGTTTTCTCCAAGCACTGCAAAACCTCAGCCAAGAGTGTCCCCTTTGCTGTGCTGAGAAGAGTAAAAAACCCTCTCAATTAAACCCTACTGCACACCTCATGTGGGAACACTGCACACTTCAGGAGAGAGCCGAAATTTGCCCTGCGTGCCTCATGAGGTGCAGGCCCAGGTGATGCCACTGAAGGAAATGTGCCCTCAGCCCAGGGACGCTCAGCTTGGACTCCCCCAGCCCCTCGGGGCCCCACCGCTGGTCACAGCAGCCCCTGCCTGGCTCCTGCCTGCCCACACCGTGGTCAGCCCCGGCTTGTTGTGTCATTCCCCTCTGGCTGTCAGCTCGGGGAGTGCCCACTCCTCCCCCGTACCCCACTCCGGGGGGAGCGCCAGAGGTTGAGGCTTTTTTCCTCTGTCCTTCCCCGCTCCCTGCCGGGGCCCAGGTTTATCGTTGTTACTGGAGTTTCCTTTTTCCGGACCCCTCTGTTTGAGTCCTTGCCGCCGGGGGCCGTGCCGACCGCCCTCCCCCTCTGCCCCGCCGCGGGGATGCAGCGGGGAGCCTGAGGGGACGGAGAGAAAGCGCCGCTGTCATTTCCAGCAGTCGGGGCCGCTCTGTGTTTCTCCGGCCCCGGCCCAGGAACGTGCGGGGGACTCAGCCTTTTGGTTTCCCGAGGATAGTGAAGTGTTCTCGCCGGTGGTCCCCGGGGCATTTCCGTCTCCTGTGTCCCATCTAAAGGAGGTCGGGTGACTGTCCCCCGCCCCGCTCTCCCCGAATACCCAAGTCCCCTCCTGTGAGTTTACTCCTACACCTTTGTAGGCATTCGAAGGAGTCTGTGTCTGTTATTTCTTATCTTAGCGTGTTTAACATTGATTTGTAAAAAGTTTTTAAGTTTGCTAGCTGTGAAAAATAATTGGTTCTTTCTGAAACTCGCACCCTCCAAAGAAGTCCTGTTAAAATAATCAGCCCAGACCCCCAAACCTTTGCCTCTTCCTGGCGTTCCCTTTGCAAGAATACATTGTGAAATATAACCCAGAAGAGTCCCCCTTATGGCTTCTGTTATAAATTGTCGTGACAAAATAGAAGGGACAATTTATATAATAATTAATGAAAGCCAATTTTTATTAATTCAGCAAGCAGTAAAGCAAGCAAAAACCCAGCTGGGGGCGAGCCGGAGGACACTTCCTCTTAAGTGTCCTGCACATGGCGCGCGCCTTGGCTGAGGAGGTTCCCTTTTTTATACAGTCCCTGCATCTGTGTCTTCCTGGATCGCATCAGCACCTGCGCCTCCTGTTGCTAGGGGGTCTTCTTCTGCCTCTTGGTGGTCGTGGGTAGGCAATTGTCCTTAATAAGGAGATGTTCTACTTCCCCTTTGTACAGCCGGATAGCATTTTGCAGCTCCAGCTCTGCAGTTTCAGCTTCTTGCCTTCACAGCCACATATGTGGTCATTGTGGTTAGGCGTTTCTGCAATGTTAGCTTTTTTAAAACAACCTTAGCAATCATGTTTTAGTAATAATATTTAATTTGATTAACAAATAATAAAAATTTATTACAGCTTCTTTACTTGGTCTATAGACTTGTGCTCAGAGGGAATTGGACTGCTCAAATCCTGATCTAAACCCAGACAGCAGCTCTGGCCAAGATCCCTCCTGGCAGTGGGCCGGAGAGAGAAGAAAACCTGTATTTGAGCTAGCTGGAAAACTCTGGCTTGAGTCACCGGCTGCTCCTGGACATGGAGCTCAGCCGGGGCTGGTGCCGTGTGGGCTTTGCTGGTGGTACCAGCCAGACACTGGGGTAACAGTTTCAACTCTTTATTTGAACACAAAACATGGGATAATATTTGAACACAAAACATGGGCCAATATTTGAACACAAAACATGGGCCAATATTTGAACACAAAACATGGGCCAATATTTAAACACAAAACATGGGCCAAGGCCTGATCTGGTGGACAGGGGCTGCCCACCTTCAGTCCTGGCCAGGGTGCAGGGCCAGGGGGCTCAGGGGCAGAGGGTCTCGCTTTGGAGGTTTGGGTTTTATGACGCCCTCAAAACGGGGCTGCACCCGCAGCAAAGCAGATGGGGACAGAGCTGAAGCGCAGGGATAACAGGTCAAGTGCTCGCTGACTAAAGTCTTTGTCAGGTCTTCTGAAGGTGCAGAGGTGCTCCTGAGCAGAGAGGAGGCGGCTGAGGCCCCATCTGCTCCTGGCACAAAGGGCACCTCCTGCACACTAGGGAGCAGATCCAGGGGGGTCTGGGGCATAGGGTTTAGCTTTGGAGGGTATAGGTTTTGGGACACCCTCAAAATGGGGCTGCAGCACAGCAGATGGGGACAGATTTAAAGACCAGGGATGACAGGTCAGCTTCTCGCTGAGTGGAGTCTTTGGCTGGTCTTCTGAAGGTGCAGACATGCTCCTGTGGAGAGAGGAGGTGGCTGAGGCCCCCAGCTGCCGCTGGCACACAGAGACCCTCCTGCACAGCAGGGCCCAGAGCGGCCAAGGCTCCCCAGCACGGCTGCAGCTGCTGGCACAGCTTGGCCCAGCTGGAGAGCTGCCCCTCAAGGCCCCGGCGAGCAGGGGATGGCTCTGGGCAGGGTCCCTGGCCAGGAGCAGGCCCCAGAGCACCTCTGCCTTTCAAGGGCAATCTCGTTCCCGCTCTTCCTCCTGCCCACCTTGCTTTGCCTCTGCCTGCTGCTCCTGGGGCTGCTCTTGGCCAGGCAGCCTCAGTGGCAGCCAGCACTGGCTGCAGCCCAAGTGGGCTCCCCAGGACAAGGCCCAGCAATTAGGAGGCCAATAAAAGGGCTGAGCAGCATCAGAACCCTCAGCAGAGATATTTGGGCTACCAAGGACTATCCACAAGTTTGACGTAGAGATCAGCAAAACACTCACCCTTTTCTGTTCCAACAATACCAGATTCCAGCACAGCACATCATCAGAAAAAGGGCTCCAGCAACCAAAATGGCCATTAGCTTAATCAAACCATGTGTTCCCAGGCTGAAAATTCTTCTCATGCTTTCCCAGATATTCTGAGCATGAGTTGTGGTGCCGGCTGTGGGAGCAATGGGCAGCGTGAGTCCATGCTGTGCTCCTCTGCTGAGCTGGCAGCACAGTGGATATGGCAGGACGTTCTCTATTTGCCCCAGAGCTCTGGCCTGCATGCACCTTGCCGCCCCATTTTGCACAGGACATCTCAATACCCAAACCCCTGAGCTTGCATGGTATAATTCCTCTTCGCTGTGCTGGTCTTCTTCAGAAAATGCTTGTCAAAGATATGGATAAGGATCAGGAACAAGCCCATGCTTTTGAAACTGCTCTGGGGCCCTCCTTCTTCCAAACACCCCCTACAACTGATCTAGCCCGAGACTGAAAAATTGCAGGGGATCTCAGGGTGTGCATGGCCTGTGGTGCACTTGGGACTCCCTGCCAGCTGATGCCAAATGCCTTCCTGCAGAGGCTGGGGAGAAGCTGCAGCCAGGCCAGGCTGGGAAACAGCCCTGCAGGCTGTGAAAGCAGCAGAGGGGAAGTGAGGCTGCCATGGATCCCTTCCTGTTGTGTTGGGCACAGTGTGTCCAGATATGCAGAGAAAGCCCCTGGCTGCTGAGTGTCAGGAGAAGGATGGACTCACCTTGTCCTCCCTGCACTTCTTTCTTTGTTGGTCTCAGGAAATCATTTGACAATACAGACTTTTTGGTTCCATTATCTTGGGTCTTTCTTTTTGGAGGACCTTAACACAAAGTATTTCAATTTCCCAGGAATGGATCCCCCAAAACCAGTGCTCAGTCTGTGGGGTCAGCAGGGACACACCACTTACCCCTGCGATGGGAGCCGGGCTTGGGTGCAGTAACCACCTCAAGATCTGGGGAAGTGCTCCCTGCAGACACACCTGTAACTAAACAGCCACAGAAGCTTCTCTCATCTCTGCTGATCTGCACAGGCAGCTCTGAGCTGCAGGAGAGGTGAGGGGATCACGCAGGCCGAGGGCACACACATGCACAGCTCTGTCCTGGCACCTGCAGCGATGCTGCCCTGGCCAAGCTCTGGGCTCTGAGCTGGCCGCTCTCCCTGGGGGAAAGGCCTTGACCTACCCTCACCACCTCCCTGAGGCTCAGTCCTGGGTATGGGTTGAGAAGCTGCATCACCTTCACCAAGCGGCTTGGCTGCAAAGAAAGGCAGGACAGAACATCTCTTGTGGCTCTATAGGAGATTCTCAGGCTCCCTGGGGCCAGCAAAGGAGCCACACAAGGCACAGCCCCAGGGCACAGCCCTGGGCCTGGCCCCTTCCCTGTCTGCTCCTCTCCGTGGCTGCACAGAGCACACAGAAAGAGACACTGGTATTGCACATGGGAAGAAGATTGACAGCTAAACGCTCCTTCCTCCCACTGACAGCAATCCTGTGGGATCCCTCCAGGCTGCAGGAGGCAGTGGGGCAAGATTTCCAGAATCCATCACCGCTGAGATTATGTTAAGGGAAATGGCACATGGCTGAGCTCTTGCCACCTTGACATTGATTATTCTGTAAGTAAAAAGGGAATTGAGAACTTGCCTCCAATATCCTCCAAGAATTTCAAGCCATTTTCCACCAGGGCTTCCACATAATCCATATCACGATCCCAATCTACAACGGAGCACGTATGAGAACCCTTTTCAGTCCATTCTGGGATCCCCTTCTGCCTTAGGGAACTGGGCACTGCAAGGGGTTTGGGGAAGGCTGTGGGAGCCATGTGTCAATGGACATGGCCAAAGCTGCAGAGGGGCCTGGGGAGCTCTGGGCTGGCTGCTGGTCACTCTCCACCCTTTTGCCATGCCCTGTGCAACTTCCGTGGAGAGGAAAGTGGGGCAGCCGGGGGCTCCTGGGAGCTCTCTCCCATCCCAAAGAGAAAACCCTCCCTAAAGCCCTGGGGAAAACAACAGCAGGTAGTGCCACAAATATCCCTTCCCCGCTCCATCCCTCCTGCCCTCCCTCTGCTGGGACAGCTCCCCCAGCCAAAGGGGACGAAGCCAGGCCCTCTCAGGATGCAGTGGAGCCTTGACCTCTCCCTCTGAATTTTCCCCACCATGGGCACCCCTTTGCAGCCACTGCCAGGTTTCAGGATGTGTCTCTCATGAAGGGACCTCAGCAGGACCGCTCAGTAGCCAAGTGCCCTGAGCCTGCTGGGGATAATTCCTCTGGGCTGTGCCGGTTTTGTCCAGGCTGTGCCTGCACTGCCAAGCAGCAGAGATGGCAGCTGAAGCCTCAGCAGGGCTCAGGCCCAGAGGCACAGCAATTACCTCCTGGGACTGTGCCTGGCATGGCCTCCCTTCCTGCAGCAGAGGCTGCCAGTGAACCACTGTTTCCTCCAGGAAACACCGCCTTCAGCACAGCCTCTTCATCCACTTCTGCAGAAAGGAAGAGGCAGAGCTGGATCAGATGGAAACATTCCCCACTGGGGAGGTGGCATCTTCAGAAGGCAATGCTTGTCAAAGGCACAGTTAAGGATCAGGAAAATGTCCAGGCTGTAGGGGCTGGGCCAAAGCATTCCCTCCTGCAAACAGCTGCCCCTCCTTATCTACCCCAAGATCAGAAAATTGCAGGGGATCTCAGGGTGTGCATGGCCTGTGCTGCAGTTTGGGCTCCCTGTCAGCTGATGCCAAATGCCTTCCTGCAGAGGCTGGGGAGAAGCTGCAGCCAGGCCAGGCTGGGAAACAGCCCTGCAGGCCATGAAGGCAGCAGCAGGGCAGCGAGGCTGCCATGGATCCCTTCCTGTTGTGTTGGGCACAGCGTGTCCAGATATGCAGAGAAAGCCCCCGGCTGCTGAGTGTCAGGAGAAAGCTGAGGGACATGGACCCACCTTGTGCTCCCTGCTTGAATTCCTTCAGCATTTTCCACATGACTTCAAATCGCTCCTGGGATTTCTTCTCTGAGGTGTATTTGGTCTTTTCTGTTGGAGGAACTTAAGAAAAAATATTTCAACCTCCCAGGAATGGATCTCAGAAAAGCAGTGCTTAGGCTGTGGGGTCAGCAAGGACACACTACTCACCCCTGTGATGGGAGTCAGGCTTTTGTGCAGCATCCAGCCCAGGAGCTGGGGAAATCCTGTCTGCAGACACACCTGTAACTAAAACAGCCACAGAAGCTTCTGTCACGTGGTCCCTGCCAGGTTGTTAATGAATATTCCTTATTATATATATAATAATATATATATAATGAATATACCTGCAGGTGGCCCAGAGGGCTTCAAATCTTCATATCTCAAGGCTAATGGAGGAGCCTTCCCAGCAACCAAATCTAGAAGTAAACCAAGATGAGAATCATTCCCAGGGTGTGCCAGGGCTGGCTGTGGCCCTGGGCTCTCAGCAGGGCTCCCACTCAGGGCTGCTCCGGTGCCTTTGTGCCAGGGCTGGCTGTGGCCCTGGGCTCTCAGCAGGGCTCCCACTCAGGGCTGCTCCGGTGCCTTGGGCCTCTGGGCACTCAGGACCAGCTCCGGGAGCAGATGCAGAGGGAGTGATGTTGGTGCATGAGTCCCATTTCCCAAGGGCTGGGAACGAGCTCCAGAGGCCTCGGAGCTGAGGCACCTCCAGCTTTGGCTGCCGCCACAATGTGCAAGGGCCGGCCCTGGGGGGAGAGCTGCTGGCACACAGCCCCACCGAGGGCTGAGCCCAGCACAGCAATTACCTCCTGTGTCTGGGCCCGTACTCATGTGTGCCATCCCATTCCTTCCTGCAGCAGAGGCTGCCGACGAGTGACTGCTGCCTGCAGGAAATGCTGCCTTCCACAGAACCTGTATGTCCATGTCTTGAGAAAGAAAGGAGCCAGCTGGATCATATGGAACTGTTCCCCATTTGGGTGGTGGCATCTTCAGGAGCCAGTATTTATCAGTGACAGGGACCAGGAAAGTGCCCAGGTTATTTGGCCTGGGCCAGGGCCCTCCCTCCTCCAAACAGCTGCCCTTTCTGATCTGCTCAGAGACTGGGGAATTGCAGGGGATCTCAGGGTGTGCACGGCCTGTGCTGCAGTTTGGGCTCCCTGTCAGCTGATGCCAAATGCCTTCCTGTGGAGGCTGGGGAGAAGCTGCAGCCAGGCCAGCTTTCATGAGCCTTGCAGGGCATGAAAGCAGCAGGGGGCCGTGCAGGGCACAGCGTGTCCTGATGGGTAGAGAAAGCCCCTGGCTGCTGAGTCTCAGGAGGAGGCTTAGGGACATGAACCCACCAGGCCCTTTCTGCAGTTCGTCCACAATTTGTTTCTGGATGTTGTTTGATTCCTTCTCTCCTGTACGTTTGTCTTTGTCACTTGGAGGACCTCAACAGAAAACATTTCCATTTCCCAGTGGATCCCACAAAACCAGTGCTCATCCTGTGGGGTCAGCAGGGAGACACTACTCACCCCTGCGATGGAAGTGGGGCTTCTGCACACCAATCAGCAAAGGAGCTGGGAAAGTCCTCCCTGCAGACACACCTGCAACTCAATAGTCACAGAAGCTTCTGTCACCTGGTCCCTGACAGGCTATCAATGATTATTCTTCCATGGGACACTGAGAACATACCTGCAGGAGGCTGACTGGGCTTCAAAACTTTATATAGCCAAGCTAATGGAGAAGCCTTGCCAGCAACCTTATCTGGAAGGGAGCACAGATGAGAACCTTTTTCAGAGTGTGCTGAGATATCCTTCAGCCTTAGGGAACTGGGCACTGCAATGGGGCTGGGTAAGGCCGTGGGAGCCAGGTGTCAGTGGACATGGCCAAAGCTGCAGAGGGGCCAGGGGAGCTCTGGGCTGCCTCCTGGTCACTCTCAACACCCTTTCCATGCTCTGTGCAACATCCCTGAAGGGCAGGCACTGCCAAGCAGCAGAGATGGCAGCTCAAGCCTCAGCAGGGCTCAGGCCCAGAGGCACAGCAATTACCTTTTGTTACTGTGCCTGGCATGGCCTCCCTTCCTGCAGCAGAGGCTGGCACAGAGTCACTGATTCCTTCAGTAATTGTTTCCTGCTGCACAGGCTCTCGTTTCATTTCTGGAGAATGGAAGAGGGACAGCTGGATCAGATGGGGCTGTTCCTCATTGTGGAGGTGCCATCTTCAGGAGGCAATATTTGTGAAAGGCATGGATGAGGATCAGCAAACACCCAGGATTTCAGGATTATCCCTGGTTGGTCCCTTCACCAAACAGCCCCTCGACCTGATCTACTCAGCAACTGAGAAATTGCAGGGGATCTCAGGGTGTGCATGGCCTGTGGTGCAGTTTGGGCTCCCTGTCAGCCAATGCCAAATGCCTTCCTGCTGAGGCTGGGGAGAAGCTGCAGCCAGGCCAGGCTGGGAAACAGCCCTGCAGGCCGTGAAAGTAGCAGGGGGCAGAGAGGCTGCCATGGATCCCTTCCTGCAGTGCCGGGCACGGCGTGTCCAGATGTGCAGAGAAAGCCCCCGGCTGCTGAGTGTCAGGAGAAAGCTGAGGGACACAGACCGACCTTGTCCTCCTGCAGCATTTCCTTCAGCATTTGCCATATATGTTCAGATCGTTTCAGGGTTTTCTTTAATGCTGTATCTTGGGTCTTCTCTCTTGGAGGACCTTAGAACAGAATATTTCCATTTCCCAGGATTGGATCCCCCAAAACCAGTGCTCAGTCTGTGGGGTCAGCCATGACACACCACTTACCCTGGGAGCTGGGCTTGTGTGGAGTAACCATCCCAGGAGCTGGCAAAGTCCTCCCTGCAGACACACCTGTAACTAAACAGTCACAGAAGCTTCTCTCATCTCTGCTGATCTGCACAGGCAACACTGAGGTGCAGGAGAGGTGAGGGGATCGTGCAGGCCGAGGGCACACACGTGCACGGCTCTGTCCTGGCACTTGCAGCAATGCTGCCCTGGCCGAGCTCTGGGCTCTGAGCTGGCAGCTCTCTCGGGGGAAAGGCCTTGACCTACCCTCACCATCTCCCACAGCCTCAGTATTTGGTGTTGGATGAGAAGCTACATTGTCTTCACCAAGAGGCTTGGCTGCAATGAAAGGCAGGACAAAACAGCTCCCATGGCTCTATAGGAGATCGGCCAGCAAAGGAGCCACACAAGGCACAGCCCTGTGGCACAGCCCTGGGCCTGGCCCCTTCCCTCTCTGCTCTTCTCCGTGGCTGCACAGAGCACACGGAAGGAGACACTGCACTAGGGAATTACATGGGACATGGCATTGCACATGGGAAGAACATTGACAGCTAAATGCTCCTTCCTCCCACTGACAGCAATCCTGTGGGATCACTCAGGGCTCCAGTGGGACAAGGTTTCCAAATGCATCACCCCTGAGATTATGTTAAGGGAAATGGCACATGACTGAGCTCTTGCCACCTTGACACTGATTATTCTGTCAGGAAAGATGTATTGAGAACTTGCCTCCAACATCCTCCAAGAATTTCAAGCCATCATTCATTACTTCCAGGTAATCCATGTGATGATTCCAATCTAGATTGGAGTACAGATCAGAACCATGTCCATGGTGCATTCTGGGATCCCCTTGTGTTCTAGGGAACTGGGCACTGCAAGGGGTTTGGGGTAGGCCGTGGCAGACAGATGTCAATGGACATGGCCAAAGCTGCAGAGAGACCTGGGGAGCTCTGGGCTGGCTCTGGTCACTCTCAACACCCTCTTTCCATGCCCTGTGCAACATCCCTGGAGGGGTGACAGGACTAGCCTGGGGCCCCTGGGGACTCTCTCCCTCCCACAGAGGAAACCCTCCCTTATGCTTTGGGGAAAACCATCCCCAATGCTTCCCAGAGAGAAGGAAGTGCTGTCCTGAGAAAGGGGAACCAGGCCGCCTGCTCACCTGCTCCCTGTGCTCGCCAGGGAGCAGCCTGGGCAGCCCTGTCAGGCAGGGCCACTGCCAGGAGGAGCAGGAGGAAGAGGCGCAGAGCAAAGGCCATGGTGCCTTGCCCACTGCCAGTCCTCCAACTCTTGCTGCCACCACTGTCCTCACAACGCTGTCCCAGTGTCAGCACCGCTGCCATAGCCGCCGCTGCTGCTGCAACAGTCGTAAAGGACTGACTGCTCCGTCCTTGTGGTGCTGTGCAACCACGGGGCTCTGCCACCTCTGTGACCTCAGAGCCTGCCGTGACCTCAACCTGTGTAACCCCAGAGCCTGCTGTGACCTCACAGCCTTGGCTGTACCCCTTGAGTGTTCTCCCATCTGACTGCCCTGATTGTAAATATTTTACTTCATCAAAGGGCCATTGCTAAACAAAACCTTGGTTTTGCCTGCTGACATTGCT